GTTATAACGTGATGGCCAATCCCACTATTCGTTGGTAAAAGAGTAGTCCAAGATTTGGCGGTTGGTGGTGATGACCAGTTGCCTTCCCTCTAGTCTTTCACTGGTAAATTAGGGTCGGCTAGTGCAGATATCCCTTGTGTAGCTTTGCGCGAAATGTCAAACAAACAAACAATAAATAGAAAATGAATTTATAATAGGAACTGTAATCGGATATGAAATTATTTTTATTTCATGATGGTTTAACTTATATTTGTGTTTTACTCTTGATATGCTAAATTGCTTTCTTTCCCCTTTTTTTATATATGTGTTTTATTATAGCAAAGCCACACCAGGCTATCTGCTGAGTCCACCGAGGGGAATTGAAACCCTAATTTTAGCATTGTAAATCCAAAGACTCACCGCTGTCCCAACAGGGGATTTCATTTTTTTCCTAAGATTTTTATTTTATTTTTCACATTTTAAAATAACTGGTAAAAACTCAGACCATTCTGTTTCGTTTAATATATTTTATTTCAATTTTCAGACGGTCCACCGATGTCTCAACGTAACTTTCCACCTTCCTTTTGGAACAGCAACTACCAACCACCACATCCAATACCGGCACCTGCAACTATGACTCCTGCTAATCATCACGAATTTTCTTATGCCACAGATCCTTACCATTCGGGGGCGCTTCACCCAGGTATTCACCAAAACGACCCTTGGCACTATACTTTGTCTTCACATGCACAAGCGGCTAATCCTTACTCTCACCGACCGATGCACGAACTGGCTTATTCTGGGATGTCTTCAGTTCCCACAGGTAACATGTTTAATCAATATGGATCACTTCTACTTCAGCCTTCAATGAGGTCCTCTCGACTGACCCATGGGTCAACACCTTGCGCTAGTCTGGATAAACCAACTGACACTTGGGGCACGCCGAGGTACCACGAACCGCTCACTCATAATCTTGGACACATGGAATCAAACTACAGCGCCACCTATGGTACTATGGGAACAATGCCAGGTGTGTTTCGCTTTTAGGGTGAGCTATTAGTAATTCTGTAATCTTTATTTCTTCTTTTTCTTTTTTGGTCACAAGATGTGACTTAGAAGTAGAAATAGAAATTTTAAACGAAATTTTATTTCGGTTTTTAACTAGCTGGAAACAAACAATGGGAGAAAAAGTACTGAATGTCTTTGATTTTCAATTAATAAAATTCTACACATTAACAGTTCAGAAATTTAAGATAGTCTTAATTGATTTAATTTGTATAGATTTAAACAGTTTCCAACATTTCTTCATTATTTAACCAACTTTGCTAAAGGTCACGTGTCTGAGAATCGTGTGCTCAAAAGTCACATGCTAAAAGTTCACTGTATGAGGTTTATATTGTAAGGAGCTACGAACTTTAAGAACAAGTGATATGCATAATTTTCGTATCCTCAAAAGTCCCATAAGAAAGCTTATTGGTGTAAAGTTCGTGTGATTTACTTCAAAAAACATATTAAATAAAAACACTACATTATAATAGTCAAAATTCAGAGTGGTATTCAATTCTAAAGAATTCGTCTATATCACAAACATGTGTTGAAAATCAGACCCTCTCAGAGGTTCAGAGAGACCCGGACCACTTCTATCTTTTGAGGCCCCTGGCTATAATAAAAAAATGATGACACATGAAAACCAAATAAGCCAAGCATTAGCCCAAAAGAAAAGGTGACACAAAATCTGAGTATTTAATTTGTATATATAATTTGCAGCTCTAAGTTGAGACTGTGTCACATTTTGGTCTGATTGGAAGGCACATAAAACAAGTCGCGAAACTTAACAAATGCAAAAAAAAATAATAGTGTCTGAATTTGAAGCCTCCGTTGAGCTTGAGGCCCAGGCCAAATGGTCCCCCTTCACCTCCCTTTAATTAACCCTATTTAAAATATACTGTTTGTTTTCCCTGTAAGTCAAAGAGATCTTTAAATTGTCAAAATCATGAGCTTTTACAATGTACCATATTTTGTTTCAATTTCCAAATTGTAATTCTTTAAAATACCCGAGCTCTCAACCGGAATTATTATTTCTTTCCTATTATTCAAGAGTAATTGTTTCTATTTAATATTTTTTAAGAAAACAGTATTTCACGTGAAACCACCATCTATCACGTTTCAGTCAGCAATTTTTTCGATACGTTCACATTTATTCAGATCTCAAAAAAAAACAAATAAAAACTTACAATGAATATAAAGAATCCATGTGATCTTTCGCAATGTTGTTAAATATTCTAATATTTGATGGTGTTGAAATAAATTGTTCTATGCCCTGCTCTTGTTCTACGGGAGTTACAGTTTTGAGTGTTTTCCTTATTTTGTACTGACGTAGATCCTGGGAACGGCGGCTACATGTATGAACTGTACAAGTTACAAGCAATGCACGCGCCTCGTTCGTACCGTTGAGACGTGCACGTGATGGCAACCTACACAGTACGTGTTGCATTGTTATTGTTTGTTTCCATGGAGACTTACGGTGATGGGCTGGTTACTAACACGCATGCGCTTTAAGTTGGTGGTGGTGGTATTTAAGAATATTTGAATCTTAAACCCTTTTTTTTTTTTGATAGAAAAGTTTGTCTTAACATTGTTTTCATGATGCACCTTTTGCTAACCCTTATTAATGGCGTGTTATTTTTGTTCCCGGTTTACGCTTAGAATAGAATAATTCATTTATTATGTTGCTGTTCAATTGACTGTATAAGAGTAATTTTGTAAAGTACAAAGTATTTGATATTTTGCTTGCCAACTTACTATAACTAAAAGAAACAATGTGGGTAAAATTGTAACCAACCACGTGATAATGAGAGTACTCAGGTCACACCACATAGATGTATACGTTACTTCACTTGATTTTGATAAGGACAATAGTGGTCCTCTTCGTAAAAAAAACGTTTTACGAAACAACCTGGACAAGACATTGCAAACATTCCGTGTAATTTAAAACAACTTGAACGCTAAAACACTGTAAGAATATACAAAATATATCTACCACTGTTAACTAACCAAAACACTGTAAGCATATACAAAATGTATCTAACCACTGTTAACTAACCAAAACACTGTAAGCATATACAAAATGTATCTACCACTGTTAACTAACCAAAACACTGTAAGCATATACAAAATGTATCTACCACTGTTAACTAACCAAAACACTGTAAGCATATACAAAATGTATCTACCACTGTTAACTAACCAAAACACTGTAAGCATATAGAAAATATATCTACCACTGTTAACTAACCAAACACTGTAAGCATATACAAAATGTATCTCCACTGTTAACTAACCAAACACTGTAAGCATATACAAAATGTATCTCCCACTGTTAACTAACCAAAACACTGTAAGCATATACAAAATGTATCTCCTACTGTTAACTAACCAAAACACTGTAAGTATATACAAAATGTATCTCCTACTGTTAACTAACCAAAACACTGTAAGCATATACAAAATGTATCTCCCACTGTTAACTAATCAAAACACTGTAAGCATATAGAAAATATATCTACCACCATTAACTAACTAATACCTATACGTCTGTAGTATCGGATAGAAATTCAAGGTATCCACAGTTACGTTCTAATGATAAAAACATAAATAAATTGCAAGCAAAACTTTGATTCGTTAAGATGTTACGTTTATATTCGGCATTACAGTATTAGATTTAATGAATTCATTTTGAAACATGATATCTACTAATTATTTTTGAGACTATAATTTACTCTTTCTTTTCATTTCTGATCTCCCAAAATTACTATAGATTATTTCTTGTTTTCTGTTAATGTCACCAAGTTCCAACTGAACTAGCAATGGAACTTTGATATGGTCACTTCATGACTTTTACGTTACCAGTTCTTTCATTGTACTCCAGTATGATTTGTATCAATATCATGCGAATTCAAAAATGTAAAGCCAAGACCAGTTGAATATCATTAACTGGGAATCGCGGAGTGACGTGGGTGTTGTCATGCTGCTTATTCTTCATGATACCGTCAATTTTGACAATATCTCTCATGCATACAGAAGAAACACAGTTATAGATCCATCGCTATTTTTAATTACTCTCATTTGCTTAAACTTCTCATGGTCACGACTCCGTACAAGACTATCCTAGGTTTCGACCTTTGTTTCATTGGTCTACTGCCCCATTCTCTGTCTCTTCTAATTTCTGTGATCGTTTGTCAAGGTTGGACACTTAACCATGATCATGCATACAATATTAGATCTTCGTTGTTTTGTTTTTCGGTTGCAACTTTTTCCAATTAGTCCAAATCTTTATTTGTCTCTGGTTTAACCGTTGTGAATTTTTTAAAGTTTTGGATTATGCTCATAATTTACTGATTTTTAGCCGCGGCATAGCGGCTTATTGAATGGCTCTGAGTTTTTCAATTACAAACTTTTAGCTCATAGCTCCGTCATCTCTTGACCGATTTGAGATATAGTTACAGTTTTGGATTCAGGAGTCAAGCCCTTTCGATTGATATATATGGTCACGCCCAAGGTCTTATAGATTAATATATTCTAATTCTACCTAAAAGAATTTCAAGTTGAGGATAGCCTGGTAGATATCCTGATGATTAATAAAATCGAATCGGGTATGCGCGCGCCCCACGCTTGGTATTGCTGGCGCACAAAAATATACCTAATAAAAAGAAAAAAAAACAATAACAACGGTCTCATAGATTAATTTACCCTAATCCTGCCTAAAAAAAGATTTCAAGTACCGCGGCTATTGAGAATTCCCTCCTGCTTACAGTTCAACCCTCAATTGAGACAACAGTATGTTGGTGATTTAAAGTAGGCGTGAAAAATAAATGTATTATTGTTAAAACGTGTCAGTGGACAAAGACCATACTCCACGTTCAGTGGTGCCTACTTTGTGAAATACAAGTATGTCGTGATAGTAGCACGAAGCTAATAATAGATTTTACTTGCATAATAATAGTGGATATAATATAGGGTAACAGAAGAATTAAGATACATCATTTATGTTTTGCAAACAATAGTCCTCGTTCTTTGATTTATTAAAACAAAATTAGGCTTTTTTTATTCTTGGGTTCATAGGCTTGCGACTGTCGCTGTACAGTTAAAAAAAAACTAGGCCAAAAATTAATAACACCGCACTACAGAACACACGAATAAAATTACCGAAGAGATAAGTGGAAATAAACAGCTGTTTGAAATAAAAATAAAATCTCATAGTTAAAATTGATCTGGAATTTGATAATCTGGAACAACAGTAATACATATCTAAAACTACTGTTTACTGTTTATACAAGTTGTGGTAAGACATAGCTGCAGTAATAAAATAGCAAAGCAGTGAAACATATATAAAACTAAACAAAAGAAGAAAAAAAACGGTCGTTTTATTCCTTTTATAGCAATTATTGACCTCAGAAACTTTGGCTTAATTATGTTGGTCACTATGCATATGTTATTATGAAAACTAAATAGCATAAAACTTTGGAAGATAAACTTTATGTAACTTTAAGGCCTGGCATTGTCAGGTGGTTAAGGTGCTAGACTCGCAGGTCGCGGGTTCGAATCCCCGTCCCACCAAATATGCTCACCCTTTTATCGTGGGTACGCTATAATGTGACGGTCAATACCACTATTCGTTGGTAGAAGAGTAGCCCAAGAATTGACGGTGAGTGGTGATGACTAGCTGTCTTTTTAGCTTTGCGCGAAATTCAAAGAAACAGACAATACTTAACCATAGAGTTTTATTTTTACGATAGCCTGGGTTATATTTATTTCTGTTATTTCATTGTTTTTCAAGATTCAGTGAATGGTAATATTTATTTTGTGAACGTCTTCTTATTTACCCAATATATTCATGTTTTCATCACTTGTTTTATGGTTAAGGTTTTTATGTGTTTAGTTACATGCAATGGATATGCATATAAAATTAACAAGACTTTATGAACACCTGAGAGAACAATCACGAGATAAAATTTAAGGAAGCGTTATTAACATAAATACAAAAAGCTAACATATGAATGCTCCCTTTACCTTTCTCTATTACCGACCGAAGAAGCTTAACTCAAGAA